CCGATTGACAGACAGAGACAAAATCAAAAGCGATCTACAGTGTTGCCGTTTTTTACGTTTGTAGGAAAATGGGTGTGTAGAAATATATAAACTATTTTAAAAACTTTTATTTATACTACTGAAATGAAGATAATATACAGTACGTCTGCTGGACCTGTGTCTATGAAAGGAATGCGGACAAAAAACATTTAAATAAACAACGTCGTATTTTATACGTCGACTTGACGAGTACGTCACCGCAAATCGCTCCGCCCACTCATTTTATTGGCTACTTGCAAATTTGTCGAATTTTTATTGATGGGACGCGTCGTCTATTTTACGAAAAACATGGAGAGAATATCGTTTCCCCTCTCACGGATACCCCGTAGCTACAGGTGTCTCAGATTTTAATCGGAAAAATTTAATAGACGATAGAACTTGCAAAAATAAAACAAAAAGTTAATATCAACTTGTAAGATTTAAAGCTTCCTTTTCGAGATACAGGGTATTAAACTTACTTAAAAAAGAAAAAAAAATAAGATATTTGGAAAACTATTTAATCGATTTTGATATATCTTGACCCGTTTATAATACTTACTATGGGACTTAATTTGTGTGTGTGATGTAATTAGATTTAAGTTTAATGGCCAGAGGCGGTGGTGGGGAATCACTGTTAGATTATTAAAAAAAAGGCACGCCACTGTTTTTTTAGAAGTTTAATATTATTTTTGGATTTAGAAATTGAAAATATTATTTTTTTGTCTCCTGACTTTTTTGTCTGTCTTGCTTACTTCTTGCGAAAAAAAAATCATTTATTCATTCCACCCGCTGGACAATAAATTAAATAATAATGGTTAGTTACAACAATTACAATAATTGTTCGAATTGATAACCACTAACATCAACGCATTTTCTACAACGACGAACTACGGAATGAACTGCGCTTGAAATCTGGATCGGATTTTCTTTGACATCATTGATTGTGTTTTGGACTCTAAAAATTAGCTCTTCCCTAGTGTTAACTGCTGTTTCATACACCTTTGCTTTTATTATCCTCCACAAATAAAAATCCAGAGAGGTAAGGTCTGGGGACCTAGGTGGCCAAGCGACTGACCCTAAACGACCAATCCCGCGCTCGGGATAATTTACGTTTAACCATTGTCTAACAATCCGTCCATAATGTGGAGGTGCTCCATCAAGTTGGATCCAGTGATTAAATCTTGTTTTTAAGGGCACATACTCAAGTAAATTGGCCAAATCGGTTTCCAGGAACTGATAAAAATGGACTGCATTTAAGCATTTAATTAATTATTTGTTAGTGGTTATGAATTCCAACAATTATTGTAATTGTTGTAACTAACCATTATTATTTAATTTATTGTCCAGGGTGGAGTGAATAAATTAATTTATTTTTTTTCGCAAGAAGTAAGCAAGATAGACAAAAAAGTCAGGAGACAAAAAAATAATATTTTTAATTACTATCCAAAAATAATATTAAACTTCTAAAAAAGCAGTGGCGTGCCTATTTTTTCCTTTAAAATAATTTAACAGTGATGCCCCACCGCCGCGCCGCCCCTGGCCATTAAACTTAAATCTAATTACATCACACACACACACACAAATTAAGTCCCATAGTAAGTATTATAAACGGGTCAAGTTATATCGATTAAATAGTTTCTCAAATATCTTATTTTTTTCCTTTTTTAAGTAACTTTAACACCCTGTATCTCGAAAAGGAAGCTTTAAATCTTACAAGTTGATATGAACTTTTTGTTTTATTTTTGCAAGTTCTATCGTCTATTAAATTTTCCCGATTAAAATCTGAGACACCCTGTATAATCTATTACATCTGTAGTAAAATGAGTAACTAATTGTGAAAAACAAGGTTTCAACCATAGACTTAAAATAAAATATAGACTACACTATTTACATCTCAATGCGGTCAAACAATCTTTTTTATACACATGTTTACTTCTGGGTACAGTCGACCGAGCCTTCCTCATCCAGCCTATGTTGTCACGTCTTTAATATTATCAATATTTTTTTTTCTTGTTATACACATATATTGAGATATTAATATTACAGTTTAATAAAGTAGGTTTTAATATTCCATATATGTATTAAATAGTCCTTATACTACTAAATTATAAGTCGGATACTGTTTAAAAAGGATAAGTTCTTTACAATATGGCAACACCGATTAGAGGCGAGGGAGCCTATTCATTCATTTATTACCTTGTAGTACGCGTCGCATGTCTGCGGTAAAGCTTTGTTGCCGCTATGTCCCCGGCTGTATTAACGCATTTTCTTAGCTTGTAGCCCTTAAGTGTTTATTTTATTGACTTTCTCTGTTTAAGAACTATAAAATATGGTTCGCCAGTGCCGAATTTGCAAGAAATTTGACTTAAATAATCCATTTAAGTCTTGAAACGACTTTCGACCGGCAACTCTCAATTTACCCATTAGGAGTCAGTAGCGTTGTTGTAGAAAGGCGCTTATTTAGATAAAATTTTAGTAAAACGTAAAATCTGAATTTTTTCTCTTACATTACATTATTTATTTACTTACATTGTAACAAAATCATAATTATAACCCGATATTATATATATATATATATATATATATATATATATATATATATATATATATATATATATATATATATATATAGTTATATATATATATATATATATATATATATATATATATATATACATTGTATATATAATATATATATATATAATATATATATATATATATATATATATATATATATATATATATATATATATATATATATATATATATATATATATATATATAACCCCATATTATATATAATATAATAATTAATAATGTTTTTATTAAAAATATATTCCGGTTTATTCTAAAATTATCTTCAAAATTTAAAATAACATACAAGAATTTTAAAATGATATTACATTATGAAACAATATTTTTTAATATACCGGGTCGTCTCAAAAGTGGCTCACCGCTATAACTTTTTTATTTTTTCAGATAAAAAAACAGATTTGTATGTTAGTAGGTATATGACATAAATTAGGATTTATTGACGTATTCAATTGTTTTTGGTCTCTTTCTGTTTCACCGAAATGATTACATCTTTTGATTTTTAAAGGCACCCTCGGTATATTTCTACTTTATTCGATAGAAAATGATAATAGAATTCTGAATAGAATGACATATCATATGTCAACTTTTGACATTGTCGCTTAAAAACAAATCGTATTATAAATTTCAATCCAGGGTGCCATGGTGTTGTTAAAAACACTAAGTTTTAATCAAGGAGCCTTGGAAAAATAGTTTTGATCGTCTAATGGGTTTCGTGTCTTGTCTAGGCCGATTAAAAGATGTACAAATCATATTTTTAATCATACATATGTCAATTTTTCAAATGGAACAAGGGTGACTCATTAGCATATTTGGAAAAAGCATTTTTTTATGAATATATTGATACCACACACTTGGTATTTCGAGTCAAATTGTCGTTATGAACCGCGTGTTACAATTACAATTAAACCATATGCGAAAATGTCAAAAGTTGACATATGATATTTCATTCTATTCAGAGTGTCATTTTCTATCGAATAAAGTAGAAATATACCGAGGGTGCCGTTTAAAAATTAAAAGTTATAGTCATTTCCGGTGACACAGGAAGTGACCAAAAACAATTGAATGCGTCAATCAATCCTAATTTATTTCATATACTAACATACTAAATCTTGTTTTTTTATTTGAAAATATAAAAAAATTATGGGGATGAGCCACTTTTGAGCCGCACCCGGTATAATAAAGACAGTACCGAGTTAAATAAATGTAGTTTTTATTTTATCCACTTCCTATCACCTTCCTTGCTTTAATGGAACAGATTTATGTTTTCTCTAATTTACATAATAAGACATCACTTAACTAGAAAAAAAATTACAACAATCATTTTTTTTTCTCTCCCTGTCGCCGATTCTATTATATCTGTGGAATAGATCCGGTTTTGATTAATATTAGGGGTTGTAAATGTTTGACTAAAATTAATAATTTATTATTAATTTCAAAAATTACGTAATTTCAATTATAAAATTTCTTCTATAACGTGTATTTTATTATTTTATCCTTTTTGGACTCTAAGACGTTTTTTCTAAACTTTTATTTAAACTACCTGTCCTAAATCTTAATAAAATATAAAAAAGTTTAAATACGATATATTTTTAATTCAATTATAGCTTCATTAAAATAAAAAAAATACCCGGCTATGATACGGAGAGTTCAGATGTACTTGAGAAACGAAAGACAGTGTTGTGTTTCTCGGCAGAGTCGTCAGGGAACGACCGTTCCCTGACGACTGAGTCGTCACGACGACTACACAAATATTTAGTCTAATGACCTTGTAATGACAATAGCATTTAGAACTCAAACCGTAATCAGCCGAAATCTACCACCGGTCACTTAAAATTGGCATCATCGATTTTTGTGCAACACGGTTCCTGATCGCGGTAAAATGTAAATTGTTTCGTCTCCTTTTATTTAGATGTCTTTGGTTCCAACCTAGATGCAACATTTTCCATAAACGCCTACTTGTGCGGTTTGAACTTTTGATGCGAACTCCGGCAACCCGCATTGAAGAAATGTATCAACCTAACTTTTATCTCTTTTTAATACATTTGATTTTCCATTAAGCTGCCTGCATCACTGTCTTAGGCGTTAAAATCCAGACCACACTTCGAAAACGACCAAATAGATATGTACTATCAGTGGTATTTTTGTAAAGTATCTAGTTTCCAAAAGTAACACAATTTTAATACTAAGGGCATATGGAAATATAAAATGGCGATAATTTGTACAGAATATATGCTTTATCACTAATATACAACTTGAACTTTCATAATATTTTTTTATTCTCTGAATATATTTGTTCTAAAAATTATATTTCCAACGTTACCAAGAAATACACCTAGCCCTTGAAATTTTAAATTACTATTTGATTTAAAACAGATTATTTTTTGCAGCTTGTGAAATTGACCCATTTGGGACTCTACCAACACCCCTTTTAATTCGCGGAACTAACTTTGTATATCCAGCTAGTTCTGCAGCTACTACTCTAACATTTGCAGCTGGCGAAACAATAGACTTTGCTTGTCCTGGTGGACGAGTTGTAACCGACGGCATTACAACTACTTTGCAAGTAGCGACAGCTTCTTGTGTTAGCGGAACTAGGTTTATTGTCAATAATGCCAGATTTTTGTTCAGGCAATTGACATGTAGCGTTAACCCTGTTTCAACTATTCGCTACACTGGTAACTCTTGCAACGTAATCGGTCGTGAGATAGAAGTTGGTTACCAAATAACCACTGCCAGATTTGTGAGAACAATGTTGATATGTTTTGATACATCAACTCAATCAACTATATATACTTACTATGACTTGGTACCAGCTATTAATAATCAAATCAGGGGCACACCAAGGCCAGACTGGGAAGAGGGCTCAGGGATATATTCATTTTCGAATGTAAACAGTTACTATGTGAGAGGTACTCAAAGAAGGACCATCAATACTTTAGTGGGCTTGGCGGCAACAAACACCAAATATATTCAAAACAATAATTATTTTTTGTCTAGAGGTCACTTGATTGCACGAAGTGATTACTTCTACGCAACTCAACAAAACAGTACTTTTTATTTCCCAAACGCTTTGCCTCAATGGCAAAGCTTTAATGCATTCAATTGGGACCAAGCTGAAACAGATGTACAAGATTATGCTGCCAGGAATAATGTTAACTTGCAGGTTTGGACAGGTAATTATGTAATATTCAAGTTTATGAAAAAACACGTACCAGAATACCGAAGACCAAGTTTCAATCTATAAAATTCTTCTAACAAACATTCTTATTAGTGCTTTATTTTAGTAATATCTATAGTTTCTTTAAAAAATATTTGTCTTTCACAAATGAGAATATTGGGCTGAGAAACTAGCTACACAACAATTCCTCTTATTCTATCGATGTGTATAGGCTTGGTGCATTTCATTTCATTTTAAAACTTCCGACCGCAGCGCTCGAACGGCAGAAATTAGAAGTGCCGGGTATAAAGAAAGTATTTCAAGCAATCTCGTTACCGTTTATGTCGATCGCATTGAAATAAGATTAAAATCGTGGCTTTGTCATAATATTTAAGTGTTTGATTTTTTACTAGTGCAGTTATTGAAACTATAAAACACTCGGGTACGAGGTGTGTGTGATGTAACGCTGTTTCGGGTAGTAAAAAATAAGTGAAAACCAACCCGAACTAGGCATCGTGTTATGTTGTGACAATTTCAAATGTTAATAAAATTGGCGAAAAAATGTATGTAAATGTATATTAATGGTATACTCTTTTTTTAATCAACTAGTGCTTAAATGTTTTATGAATATCTTCTAAAATTATAATTATGTACCTTTAAAAAATGTCCTTATGGCCAAAATGGCCACAATTATGCCCCACTAGCAAAACCAGGGTGTAAAACTATGCTCGCTACCGTAGGCGTAGTTGAACTCACTTAAAAAGTTTTCTTAGCTGGAATAATAAATTATAATACAAGTTAGACCTTCTGAGGATCAAAATAAAAACACTAAATCACCACAATACACCAAAACACTTTTACTTTTACACTGGACGCGCGTTTTGCTAACCATGTTAGCATCATCAGCAGATGATTATAAACTAAAGTACAATCTACAAGTTGAGCGTTTATATACTCGCTCAGTGGGCCCCGAGTGGGCGTGGCAAAATCTAGCCAACCGAGTCAGAGCCAACTAAGCGTAACAGTTAGATTTCCGCCACTAGAGTAGTAGGAACAAAGAACTTGAAGGAATTGGACCGTTGACTCTGTTCATACTATCTTTACATTTATTAATTCTGATGCTTTCATATGCATCTAATTGCCTGTAATTTGAGACTTGTTTAATTAATTTTAAATTATTAAGATCTATACAATGTTCATTATCAACAATATGTTCGGCAACGCAAGATTTATCCGGTCTACCATATCTTATCTGAGCTAAATGTTCTTTAAATCTAGTTAATATTGATCTTCTAGTTTGCCCAACATATTTCTGATTACAATCTTTACAAGAAATTTCATAAATACCCGACCTTTCCAGTGGAGGTGTTTTATCTTTTGGATTACCTAATAATTGTTGTAATTTATTATTAGCACTATACACAAGTTTAAATTGACATTCTTAAAAATTCCTTTTAGACCACGGGATAACTCTCTATCAAACGGTATCGAAAAATATTTAGACGTATCTTTCTCCACTTGAAAAGTCGAATTTTCAGAAATCATTAACCTATACCTACGTTTTCTAATTAATTTATCAACTAGTAAAGGAGAATATCCATTACACTCAGCTACATTCCTAATGTAATCTCTTTCTATTTCATATCTTTCGTTGGAAAGTGGGAAACTAAGTAACCTATGAACTAAGAAATTTAAACTAGCCATTTTATGTTCAACACTATGATGTGATTCATTAGGAATATATCTGCGTGTGGTCGTATTTTTCCTATAGATATCAAATGCCAGGCAATTATTAGTATTTCTAATAACTAATACATCTAGAAATGGTAATCTGTCGTTGTTCTCAATTTCATGCGTAAATTTAATGGAAGGAAAACGATTATTTAACTTAGAAATAAAATTATCTATAGTGTCTGAATGTGTGTCAAAAACAGCAAAAATATCATCCACATACCTAAACCATACTCTTGGAAAATACCCAAACTGATTCTTAGCCTCCACTTCAAACCTGCTCATGAATAAATTAGCCAAAAATGGAGACAATGGATTACCCATTTCTGTACCTTCCCGCTGTTCAAAAAAGTTGTTATTAAATTGAAAACAATTTTGTTTCATACATAACGATGTAAGCTCAATATATTCACTCACAGTTTTGTTGTCGAGACCATTTGCGTTCAGTAATTCCTTTAAGTAGCCTAAAATATGTGGAATTGGAACACTTGGGAACAACGAAGATACATCAAAGTAGACCAAAATTTCACCTTCATGCAATGTTATATCTTTAATTTTGTTAATGAATTCAATATTATTTTTAACTGAGAAAGAAGGTTCATGATCAGGTAAATTTTCGAACTCCCTTGATAACCATTTTGCCAAATTATAAGTCGGAGAACCTACAGCCGAAACAATTGGGCGCATAGACTTGTCCGGTTTATGAATTTTTGGCAAAGCATACAATTTTGGTAATGAGGGATTGGATACTTGCAATTTGATATTAGGTTAATCTTCTGAGGATATCAAAATATTTACTTTTTTTTGTTTTTAGAATTTTCACAAATTACACTTCCTAACACTTTTAAAATAAATATATAATACATTTTTCGTATACTCGCTATTTAAACCCATGTATTTGTATATACCAGTTGTTTACGATATTCTCCCATTGTAGCGGCACCGGCGGAGAAGGCACCAAGCCTATACTATCCTGATTCTATAAATAAACTGATGATAAACTTTCATCTAGATGGCTGAAAATCGGTATAGTGCGGTAAAATTAAAAATGAAACAACTTTTTCCATAAAAAGTTTTTGAAAATTTGGCCGGAACATTTAAGCTTCATTCAGAACCTCGCAATTAGTGGTTTCAATTACACTTTATACTTTTTAGTCTACGATCATTCACAATATTTAAAAAAACATAATTAAAATTAAAATTAATAGAATATCCTAGCAACAGCTTACCTTAGTCAGTTGTATCCATATAGAAAGCCTAATATTTAGCTTATAAGACAATCAACTTTTGATTTCTAACCACAATTTTCCTTGACGGATGATAATCAAAGGCCAAAATGACATTTCAAAAAAAAAACAATTAACTTTTGATTTCTCGCAAATTTTGAAGTACAATTGGTGGAAAAGTTAAGGCTTCAATTAGCGCAGAAGTTTGTTCCTTTAATTTTAATGTAAGCATTCAGAACGTCAAAATTAATGGTAGACATTTTCAATTGGTAGAAAAAGTTATCAAACTTTTAACTTTTCCACTAATTATACTTCAAAATTTAAGAGAAATGTCATTTTGGCCTTTGATTATCATCCGTCAAGGGAAATTGTGGTTAGAAATCAAAAGTTGATTGTTTTATAAGCTAAATATTAGGCTTTCTCTCTGGATACAACTGACTAACGCAACCTGTTGCTATGGATATTCCATTAATTTTAATTGTGTTTTTTTAAATATTGTGAATGATCGTAAACTAAAAAGCATAAACTGTAATTAAAACCACTAATTTATTCCACTAATTGCGAGGTTCTGAATGAAGCTTTATTTATTTAAATGTCAAATTTGACTGATAAAACTTTTTGGCATACTCTGTAGACTTGTGTCAAGGAGAGGACAATACCACAATGATATTCATGTGATAATACATGCAGAGATAACGTTTAACTGTATGTAAATTTAAGATTTTTAATTTCTAGCTAAGTGCACCGTCACGTGCTGCAATTAATGATATAGAATCAAATACTTCAAATTCATTAATGTTAAACATAAAATTCAGATCAACTCAAACTCTTGTGTAAAATAATTTAATTCATATATCGTTATTTATATTGCGATAGTAGAATTAAATAGGAAATAACTTAAATAGTAATTGAATATTTAATGGTCGACTATTATTTTCTTATGTCTCAATATTACATCTAAAACGCTCTCTACACTATTCGCGAAATAGAACGAAGAATGTCAAGGTTGAATAGTCAAAGGGGTTATTCTACATATTTCCTCGTGTAATGAAAATAAGCCGAGACCAGTCAAAGTTGGGCGAGAAAATACGAAATATCCCTCTTTACTGTTCGATCTTGATATACTTCGTTCCATTTGTGAAATAAAACGAAGAATAGTAATTGAAATTCAATGTCAATATTTGAGATAAGGTATCTAACTATTAATAGAAAATAACAAAGTTATACATTGTTTAAAATATAATATTTTAATAATAGTAATGATACTGAAAATATGTTTTGATATAAATTTAATAGGTTTAAATAATTTTCGATGTAGGTGGATATGGAATTGCTACTTTACCTCACGAAACCACCGGAACTCAAGTACCTCTTTATCTTTATGTTAGTGGAAATACACGACTTATTCCAGTTCCTCTACTTTACTGGAAGGTGGTCTACAACCCAATTACTCAAAGAGGTGTGGCTTTGATCGGAGTAAATAATCCGTATATCACCTGGAATCAGATAGACCAATTTTGTGTTGACCAATCCGACAGACTGACGTGGTTGAACTGGAGAAAAGATGACCAATCAAGGGGATTATCCTGGGCCTGTACAGTTACAGCTTTTAGAAGAATTGTTCAATCTATGCCCAATATTGAGATTCGTGGATTACTGTTCTAAATATTTTGCTCTGTACAATATGAGTTCTATAAATAAATAATTTTGTAAGAGATGGCAGCTACGTGTTTATTTATTATACAATATATATACAGGGTGTCCCATCGAAAACGTTCCGCAAGGCATAACGGCCAGGGCAATTTTTTTTTCAGAAAATTCAAAAACACGTCAATTTTGTTTGTGAGGGGGACAACTTTTGCCCCAAAAATGATTGCAAAATCTTCAACCCTTTAAGCGGGGGTGTCATCCCCTAACTTTTTTTAAATGGGAAGGGGGGTCAAGTGGTACCGCAATGAAAAGAGCTTTCTATTCTCTATATTTCCCCGCTTCGTTTTTCAAAATCTGTGGAGTCATTGAGAAAAAATGAAGGATTGAAATTTGAAAAGTTTATTTAAACATTTATCAGAGTAAATGATAAGGATAAATTCCTTCGACCAATTTGCTGTTTTTTCTTATTATTTCTAGATGTTTACGCATTTTTTCACTTGCCACAAGGTTGAACGATCAGGTGCGGTAGTTGCTAGATAGCTGTTCTGTCACTTGTACGTTGAAGTTCTTCTCGATATCGTTAAACTGACCTACAATAGAATTTCCAAAAACACCAGCCCACACGTTCACTTTCTAAGGGTTTTGTGTGTGCACCTCGTGAAAAACCCTGTATTCCTCAGCCCAGTACCGACAGTTGTACTGATTAACTATACCGTTCAAAAAGAAAGTACACTCATCCGAAAAACACACATTAAATAGGAAATTATTATCATTCGCCACTCGTTCACTCATAGTCTCACAAAATTGCAAGCGATGATCAAAATTGTCTTCGTTGAGTTCTTGTACCAACTGAATTTTGTACGGGTGGAACTTGTGTTTTTTTAATATCCTTTGGACAGTTGTACGATTCACGCCGGTCTTATTGGCTAATTTTCTTGTACTCAGCGTACTATCCATGGCAACTTGGCCCAATACGAATACCTCCATAGCTTCATTTACTACAGGATTTTTCCTCTGCCTCTTTTTATTCATAACGGAACTAGCTTCGCGAAATTTTGCTATTAACTCGTGAACAATTTTCCATAAAGGTGTTTGTCAGGATAGCGTTTATTGAATATATGCACAACCCGATTGCGACATTCATTATTTTTAAAATAAAGTTCGATTATTTCCACTTTTTCTGCAAGTGAGTACACCATAATTGTTAAAAAGTTTAATGATATTGAGAAGAACTTCAACGCACAAGTCACAGTCACTACCGCACCTGATCGTTCCACCTTGTGGCAAGTGAAGAAATGCGTAAACATCTAGAAATAATAAGAAAAAAACAGCAAATTGGTCGAAGGAATTTATCCTTATCATTTACTCTCATAAATGTTTAAATAAACTTTCCAAATTTCAATCCTTCATATTTTCTCAATGACTCGACCGATTTTCAAAAACGAAGCGGGAAAGTATAGAGAGTAGAAAGCTCTTTTCATTGCGGTACCACTTAACCCCCCTTCCCATTTGAAAAAAATTGGGGGATGACACCACCGCTTAGAGGGTTGAAGATTTTGCAATTATTTTTGGGGCAAAAGTTGTCCCCCTCACAAACAAAATTGACGTGTTTTTCGATTTTCTGAAAAAAAAATTACCTTGGCCGTTACGCCTTGCGGAACGTTTTCGATGGGCCATCCTGTATATTGGTTTTATATTATTGCTCGTTGCAACAAAATTATGTAAACATTAACTTCATATAGAAATATGTTAATAGAATTTGATTGACATTATAAGCAGTCATTGATCAACAAAAAGGCTTTAGATGGGCTTTAGAATATATTAACTAAGAGTATCAAACTTTTATAAAACCCATAGATAAATCAATCAAAACTTTTTCAAGTTAATACACGCAGATGCAAAAAAAACACAACGGAGAAATTTTTGGTCAAATTTAAAGTGTTATATTTTTGTTACTTTTAGCTCTATTTTCGTGATTTTTTTAGCAAACTGTATATAATTAGATCAACTTTAATTCGTAAACTAGTATCAATTTTCATTTTTTATTCCTTTTTGATGTAATTTTTTATGACGAGATGGTTTTGGTGAGTATTGTTTTAACATCATATTATGACTACATTGGATACTCTATACTAAATTAAAAAAACGTTAAAGACGAACGATACAGTCATGGTTTTATTAACCATTAATGACGATAACAGAACTAACGATATTAAAGAAAACATCTGTAATAGTCATGTATACAAACAGAAAATAAATTGTAAAATATACCCTAATACTTTGTATTGCCTCCCTTGGTTGCTATAACTGCTTGTATAGGTCCGTTCATACTGCCATTAAGAATCATATGTCATATTCCGTTATGCTTTCCCATTCTATTTAAGAAGCAAGCGAAGTTCATTTAATGAAGCCGGTACCGCTTCGCAACCGCTATCCCTCCTGCCAAGCACTTCCTAAATGTCGAACACGATGGGCAGTTCATACTAGTATATGGTTCGCAATAATCACCAAAGCCGCCTTGTCATATTGAAAAATATTTTCAAAAAGATAATTGAAAAAAGTTGCAAATTGTTGGTGGCAAGTTCATTTCGGTCTTAAAAATTAACCATGGCATATATTCACATCATCCAAAAAACAAAATGCTCAGGAGACATGGTTCTCACCGTAAAATTAAATTTTAGGAAAATTTACACACGAAATTATTCCACAGGGTGTTTTAAAGTTAGGGTTAAAGAACAACTCTTCGATTAACCCTGTATAATAGGGCGACTATTATATTTCATCAGCCGACTATTTTTATTAAAATAAAAATAGTTTGGGTACCTAGGTCGACTCAGCCTTAAATGAGTACTTGGGATTAGGCAGTTGAAGCGTAGTGCTAGCCACATTAACTTCCTTATATACCGAACGGCTCTAGCATGACAAGCTGTACCTTGCTACTCCCAAGGCGTTAAAACGCTATATACGGGAGGTATTATTATTATTAATATGCCATATAAAATGTTTATAAATGTTAATTTTAATAATAATGTTAATTTTTAATGTTTATAAAAAACTGAGTTTACGAATTAAAGTTGATATAATTATGTACAGCTTGCTAAAACATTCACGAAAATAGGACTAAAAATAACAAAAATATAACACTTTAAAGTGTTAACTTTGACCAAAAATTTTCCCGTTGCGTTTTTTTTTTGGATCTGAGTGTAGAATAATGTTAGATATTTGTCTTTTATATCTTCTGTACTGAAGGTGTTCGAGCAAATGATGAAACCATTTCTTGACAATAGGTTTTATAATATCAACATGGCTTCGTGAGCGGCGGGTCAACTGTGACTATGTAATAGAATAATATCAAGCTTAGTAAAATTTTATCTTTTTGGTTTGTTATTCTAAGACGGAACCATTTCAGTTTACGAAGTTATCAGTCGACATAGGCAAACGAATTTTAAAAGGCCTAAGCAAATAATCTAATGATATTCAAGACACATAAACTCTCTAAAAGTATGCCTGTCCTGAGAAACTAACTAAGTAAATAATACAATCTTCTAAATGTTTAAAAATCACACAAACGAGGGTAAAGTAGAATAAACATTCATCCCTTATTATCAAAACTCTATTTGACGAAGTAGAACCAGTTGTGTACCATCTGGATATCAGAAAATAAACAACACAGAAAAAGCAGGTAAACATGCTTAAGTAAACAAGTAAACTTAAAACATCCCCTCGCTATAGGTTTTGCATTTAAAATTAAAAGTATTAAATATATGTTTTAAAATCAGAATCCGAATGTTCACGAGATGAATGTCTGAAAATGATAGAAATAGGATTATCTTTTTTTTCCGTTCCTAGATTTAAATAGAAATGAGTTAAACGAATGAAGAAATAGAGATTACTTTTCTAGGCGGTTTTTTTTAAGGTAATCCTATGGCACGTTATCATTTGTATTAGTTAAGGCTCAGGGTTTGAATGTTATTCAGCAAATGGATAAAAGAAAGAGAATCGCACGGAAGGGTTCGATAATTATAAAATAATTAATAAATAAGACATTTGGTGCCCTCTAGCGATAGTAGTTAGATACAAGGGTAAAAGTAGTTTAGGGATCTGCAGGGAGAGGTGCCCTTCAGCCAATCAAAAAGGTGCGAAATATGCCTTTAGATGGGTATTCGAGGGTTCCTCAAGCTGGGGCGTTCCTAAGACGCAGTAACGCCTATCCAAGGGTACCAGCATCACAGCTTTCCATCTTCAAAATCAGTTCAGTTTTGACTTTTTAACTTTTCAGACGTGTTGACTTCCGTGCGATTCTAGTAATTTGCTGGTGTTCTTATTTTTCTATAAAGTAAGATATGTTTCTTAGTTGAGATCTTTTCTTGTTTTGTCTTTGAGTCATATTCTTTTTTTTTATTCTATTTTTCATTATCATTTTAAGCATTAATCAAATAATTTAATTCTATTTTATTTTATTTTGTCTTTTTAAGTTTCTTTTAATTTTCTTTGGTATTATTATAATTTTTCTACATAGTAATTTTTCTAGATTATCGATCGTAAGATCTCAGTTATTTTATTTTTATTATTACTAGTAATATATTTCAAATATTTGGGTATATCTAACTATTGTTGTATTATCTGTAATTAGTTTACTTCTTGTGAAATTGATATAATCCTCATACCCAAATTTCACCATTTTTTTGTTATTTTAATTATTTTGTGGAGATATTGAATTGCATTTTATTTTAATTCTTTAATTTTGTAATAAAGTAGGTGTTGTGAGAAAAACCTGCATTTTATTTATAATAACACCTTTTACTAGAATATAATATATAGATATATTTTAAAATAAAAGAACACTAGTAAAGTTCGGTCGAGTGTATCAAACCCAGAGGGGTAATCACAGAAGTACCGACAGCACAGAGTCGCAGAGCCAAGTCCGCAGCAGAGTTTCCTGTTAGTCAGACAACGATTTAAAGGTAAGTCCTAGTAGAGAAAGTTGAAAAATAACTTTATTTGAAGGAAATTCT